GGCCTGGAAAATACACAAATTTCTCAGCTAAACATTGCAAGTTTTATCCCTTAGAGCCGATTTTCTATATTCCTGAGGCTATGTCTCTAACATCAGTGAGCTAGAGGAGCCTGGCACTAATAATAAAGAAATGAGAATGGGAAATTTTAGTAAAATTTGGTGCCAGCTGGGTGGTTCGGGTAAATCCCGTGCCAGCAAATGGTTCGGCAGCGGTGTTGCAGGATGTGGTGGGATTTCGCCTGGCAAGCGTTCTCCCAATAAAAAGCCACAAGTATCCGTTTAACAACACTGTGACGTGGCGGATGTGACTCGCCACTAAATAAAGTCACTGCTTCTTCCCTTTTTCCGGAGGATCATTTACACATCGTGACCGTCATCCGATTCAAAGCGTTCCATTGATTCCCCCATTGATGGCGAACACAACGCACAAAAGCACACACACATTTACCTACTCACACAACATGTCTCCTTCCAAATACACAGGTTATTAGCGGTCCAACTTATCGTATTTTGGTAACGCCTTTTTGGTTGCTGAGTTCCTGGTTTAATAACCCGTCATTCTTGGATGCCAAAAGGGATTGACAACGTGTATTCCCATAAATGTATTTTTGGAGCTCCCAGATGTTATACACGAGGTAGCCTAGAGTCGGTTGGCGATTCAAAAAGGAAAGTTGATGACGAGTGAAGTGTTTTGAAAGAATAGTCGATACAGCTGGTGATATTATCAGCTGACCGGAAGGTTATGTAATAAAATGTGAGAGGTGCACTACAAGTTAAACATAGTTTAACATCACAACACACACATAAATTCCCATGCTATTGGTCATAATCTACTAATTTGTGCAAGTGCTGTTCATACCTGTCTGTAATACCATGATCAAGCCCTTGATGGTGTGCCTCGCAGTGACGAGAATAAACGATGTATTCATCTATTTACTTTTACCGCCAACTGACCCAGCTCCTTCGCCACGGAAGAAGCGCGGACATTGTTGTGCTGGCTGGGGATCTGAAAGCGCAAATTGGAAAGTTGTCCACAGATGAAATGCATTTGGGATTTTAGTACGGTGTAGGCTCCCGTAATGATAATTATGGGCAGTTATTTCATCTGCGTGAAGATGCTCACTTATTTCTAGCGTGCACTAAATTCAGACACAACACCCGCCGGAGGGTGACTTGGCGCCCACCAGCCTTGGACGTAGATCAATCGCATTGCTATAAATTATCGCTGGAGAGGCTGCAACCAGGATCGTCGCCTGATTTGGATTACAAGTGTGGACACCGATCATGCGCTTGTATGTGCCGACATGCGGATGCGTTTTGGCGGACGCCTACGACGACGCTTTGAGCGCATTGACACCGGTGAATGCGTATCGAAGTACGCTGACATGAGAGTTGGGTAAACGCTCACTGGAGACCATTGATGGTCACTGGTCACATGTTCTTCTGACCTTGCTAGTAGCTGGCAAATCCTCATGTGTTATGTCTAATAGCCAACATGGACATTGGGTATCATCGCAGTCTCTGGAACTTATCGATGCTCGCCGGCATATCCCGACTGGAAGCGAACACAATGAAAGTCGCAAAGAGTTCAGAGCAAGGTATTGTGCTAGCCTAAAGCGAGGCCGCGAATGTTGGTGGTCTCACCGTGCGTCAGAAATAGAAGTGGCCGCTGCCCTTGGCAACCATCGTAACTTTTTAGTCTGACACGGGCAACGGGCGACCGGAGACCTGGTGTTAGTGAAACTATACGTGGCGAGAGTAGACAGCCTATCCACAATTTTTCAAAGCGCTTGGAGCGTTGGGCTGAGCATTTTGTAAAGCAAGTTAATCGACTAGAATTGCTCGATTCTTCGCCGGCCAGTTATAACCCCTCCCCGTGGGCTGTCCCTTTGGATCCACCCTCTCGCTCCGAAGTAAAACGTGAGATCGGACTGTTGAAGTTAACCGCAGCCGCGGGCCCAGAGGGTCTTAAACCAATCCACTTCAACTTCGGGGACTGCTTTTGTTGAGGCTTTAGAGGAATTAAATAAATAAATAAATAAATATTTATTCTCGACTATGCGAGGCACGCCAATTGAGGTATGATCAGGTATGTACAGCTGTACAGACATTTTATGGGAACTGTAGTGTCAGTAGAAAATTGTTCATATGTCCACGCTTGGGACTGTGCGATGGTGAACATGCGATAGAACGATTGGGTTGTAGTGGGATCGGGATCCATTTGTTTGGACATAATCGCTCTGCCACATATCGCAGTCATACCTCGAGTAATTATAGATAAATGCTGAGGGATCCATTGGAAGATAATTGAAGAGTAAGCTATCCAGTATGGTGATTCTAATTGAGCTGCCAGTGTGAAGTTATGGGCTGTGACTTTATTCGGTGGCGAGTCACATTCGCCACGTTGCAGTGGTAGCAGGAGACTGTCCCAACCATCCCTGTTAAAATGCGGTAAGAAAGGATTAGGTCTCCTCGAATCCGTCGGTAGTGCATTGATTATATACTCAAGCTAAGTAGACGCTCGGGTACCTCTGCCCCGTAACCCCTTGACTAATTTAGTACATACTCTCAGAACTCTCTCGAGCTCCATTTAGTCCCGAACAACGCAGGGCGGGCAAGCGTGGACGCAGTATTCCAGATGAGGCCGGACGAAAGCTCAGAATGGCTTCACAAATATGTCGGCAGTTAAGACCCCGAAGAAACGGCGTATTAACCACAACATTCTGAAACCCCTACTTGCGGTCTTCTTCCAGTTGTCACCGCAATGCAAAGAAGAGGAATGGACGACGCCTAGGTGTTGTGTCCCCAAGCATTCGACTTCTTAGATTGCGCCCCACGAGTCAAAAAGACAACGCACTGGACAGGAGGTATATTTGCGGAACACTACACGGGCCGGCGTGGGTATGAAAAGACTCTAAGTCCAGTTCCAATCACGGCTGAGGCCTAACTTGAATTTATGGATCTCAAAGAAACACGGGACGTGTGATGGGTATGTAACAAGCAGTAGTAACAAAAGTTCTGCAACATGGAAAAGCACTAGTCTGCTTATAACTAAGACGGTTCTAATGCAAGACACACGGTTCCTTGTGGGAAATCGCGCACTTATCTTTCCGAACCAGTCAATTTGTTTCGTTTCTGTGCGCATTTGACTTTGGTCTGTGTGAAGTTCTGTTTTTCCATCCAAGTTACAAGATTTGGCCTGAATCAGTGGCGCCAACTCGACTTGATTTTCAGACAGCGTGATTTTCCTTGGAGCAGGCCGCTCGAGTCCTAACGCCTCCCCGTTGTTTAAATAGTTGAGCCGGTATTGGTATATGTCTTCCTTCGGGGGTCTACTTGCATGGGCTGCACGCGTCCTCTTCTCCGTGTTGACCTTAGTTGTTTTTCATTTTCAGCTCGTTCCATGGGTTGTGTATCCTGTCTAATCGAGGTGCTTGGCTGCGAAGTGTACAACAATTTATTGAACGCAAATCCTTCGGATTGGCGCGCCTCTTGTATCCTTGAAATCCGCGGTCGTAGTTGGTTCGCATGGCGAACCTATAGCTGTCTGCCAACACGAACGTCGTACTTTACTTTTCCGCGTCGTCCTACTACTTGACCTGGTATCCAACTGATTTGCCGCCCTTGATAAAGGCAGCTAACACTGCGTCACCAATTCTAAAGTTTTTGTGCCCGGCTCCATGTCGCTTGTTGTATTGGGTTTCCATCAGTGTAGTGGTATGATGTATAGGTGGGAGTTTTGAAGTCATCCAATCTAGCGTCGTTCTCAGTCTTCGACCCATGAAGGCTTCAGCGGGTGACTTTCCATCAGGTGCATTGCGATTCGGAGTAACCCGATTATTTAGCAGAAACGTTTCTAGCCTTTCATCCAGGGTCCCCTCCCCCTTCGATTTTAACAAAGCACGTTTCAGGGTATCAAAATACCTTTCTGCTTGGCAATTGGATTGGGGATGATACGGTGCAGTCCTCATGTGCTGGATTCCATTTTGTGCACAAAAGTCAGCGAATTGATAGGAAGTGAACTGTGATCCATTGTCTGATACGATTGCTTGTGGCAGCCCATACTGACTGAAAACACGCTTCAGTGCAAGAATTGTACTGTTTGAGGACATATTTCGCATCACAATAACTTCAGGCCACTTACTGTATGCATCGACAATGACGAGAAAGAAAGTTTCCTCAACTGGACCCACAAAGTCCACATGTATTCGCGACCAGGGTGATTCGGGACGCGGCCACTGGTAACTTGAAAGCACTGCAGCATTTAGAACAGGATCGTCCAACGTCTTCTAGTTGGCTATCAATTGAGGGTCAAAATACGTAACTGTGCGCGAGTGCTTTCATTCGGGCGATTCCTGGGTGACCTTTATGCAATTGCCTCAGAACTCGCTGCCTGAGTACTTCGGGAATGACAAGGCGATCTGCGAAAAAGAGACAGGCATCGACTTCAAGCAGAGCATCACGTCGTGTGAAAAACTGCGCAAGCGATTTGTCAGGGCACTGCTTTGGCCAACGTCGTCTTGTATAAGTCAAGACTTTCTGTAGCAATGTGTCCCGACTTGTGGCTGCCTGAACCGTTCTTGCAGTTGGTGGTAAAGTCCTCACGGCATCCTGTATCATGTGGCTGATATCCGTGTCGGTTGTGTTTGAAGCAATGACGGCATCCTCCAGCTCACGTCGACTAGTATCGATTAGTCTGGACAGAGCGTCCGCTTGCCCAATGGAGTCAGTTGACGAGTACCTCAAGTTGAATTCGTATCCCAAGAGCAAAGTGGCCCACCTTTGAAGACGACTGGTTGTATATGCCGGAATACCCTTTTTGGATCCAAAAATGGCGAGTAGCGGTTTGTGATCGGTAACTAGTGTGAAACGCCGACCGTAAATCATTTTGTGAAATTTCTGAACAGCAATCGAATGACAGCATCATTGACGCTACATACGGTGCCGACAATGTTGGATCGCAATCACCGATTCTACCCAATCCTGAGCACAAGAGCTTCATGCTTCTCCAAACAAGCGAGTCACAGCACTCAGTTGACAATGCCTCAACTGATGCCACTCCGTTAGGCCATTCGTCTGCAAGTCCTCCGGTTTCGGAGCCTACACCTCCCCTGTGTGTACCCGCAAGACAATCCACTACTGTTGCCCCCGAATCTCCCTTACCAGATCCTTCTATTTCGCAGCCTAACCAGTCCACAGCTGCAACCACGGAAGCAAAGCGCGAAAAGCATCGAAGTAGAAAACAGAGCCAGCGTGCAGCGAAGCGAGCAGCTGCTGAAAATCATGCAGTCTCTGATCCGAAAAGTTGGCGGCCAACTCGGTTAGTCTAAACGAGGATGACTTGACACAACTAACCCCTTCCGTTACCTCTACTTACTATCCTATACTTCCAAACGGGAATGGTGAGTTGAGTTGGAATGCTTTAATCGAATCCCATGGTGCTCAACTGAGCCAATACTTAACTAGCAGCTTGTGTGTATCCACTGGAAATGAAGCCAATTCCTGGACAACTGTACTCTCATCTAGCAACACACGTGCACAGCGCAGCACCACTTAAGGGCGGACTGGGATTGAATCAAATGATTGGAAAACAACTTCTAATAGCTCATCATTCAAGGGGAGAATTTCTATTTCCGTTTCACGACATGACATTGGCAAAGTAATCGGTCAAGGTGGAGCAGTTGTTAGCGCTTTGCGCAATATGCGTGGCATACAGATGGATATTGAAAGAGCCCGGAGCGAGGAGGTTATGGAACGGATGATGTATTTAAACGGACCCGGAGATGCAGTGCATCGCACATACGAGACTATCCAGGGCCTACTAAATGGCTCAATTGCAGGCAATGACGTTCTACTCATGTATGCGGCCCTGAAAAAGTCTACTACCATAGCCAACTCAACCATTGGCCAAACGGCATTGAGTGCTCTCAGTTCTAAGGCTTTGAGTAGTGCCGCCGCAGTTACCACTGTTTCAAGCGCCTCCGAAAACCCACGCCAGACATAAATAAATAAATAAATGAATAAATATTTTATTCTCGACTATGCGAGGCACGCTCGTAAAGGCATGATCAGGTGTGTGACAATGTGATTCTTTGTGACCAAGCCGTTTGCACTTCTGACAGAGATGTTTCCTATAGGAACAGAAACGTACGAAATGCCATCCACCACAATTCCAACAGGAAGTTGGGGTTTCTGGTTGGGGACTCTATGACTCACATTTTTACCGCGAACAGCTGTGTGATAAATTTGCGCTTCATTCCTAGGATGAGCATTTTCAATCATTTTGGTATCGTGCTTTAGATTAATCATTCTCTGGCACTCAGCAGCAATGTCCTGTGATGTCATGTGAGGTTCCTGTTCTAACTTATGCAGGATACGTGTACGTACGTCAGCATCGGCGTGAGACTAAAGACTACAAACAAATATGAGGCTTTTGAACTGATCAGGTGTCACCATACCCAGTTTGAAACGTTCACATTCTCGATTCACAACTGCAGCATGTGTTATATAGTCATGAGTATCACTTTTGACCAACTTAAAACAATGATAACGAATACTGAACAATGATGCTTGCTCACCGAAAATAGTCTTCAGTATTGTCACCGTCTCATCCATGCGAAAGTCGCTGGGGTTCTTTGGCAGCACAAACTACGTGTACCGTTCATGTTCGACTGCACCGAGTTTGCGCAACAACAACCGAACGTTCCATGCATCATCTTGTGCCTCCAATTCAATGCGGAGAATATCTTCATATTTCGTAAACCAGGATTCAAAAGTTACCCCGTTTGATTCATCAAAAATGAACTCCGTAATGGATGCTGTAACTGCGTCTACTGAGATCCGTGCGCCAACATCTTGGGATTCTGGTTTAATGTTCAATTTCTGTGCGAATAAGTCGAACAGCTGTTTCTGTGATCTCTCAAACTGCACCTGCTGTTGATGGAGCAGCTGCTGCACCTGCTCAAAAGCAATGGCCATTATCCAACAACTCCGTCGCCAGAAATCTGTTGTGTTCCGAGGCGTTCGACTTCTTAGATTGCGCCCCACGAGTCAAAAAGACAACGCACTGGACAGGAGGTATATTTGCGGAACACTACACGGGCCGGCGTGGGTATGAAAAGACTCTAAGTCCAGTTCCAATCACGGCTGAGAGCTAATTTGAATTTATCGATTTCAAAGAACCACGGGACGTGTGATGGGTATGTAACAAGCAGTATTAACAAATGCTCTGCAACATGGAAATACACTAGTCTGCTTGTAACTAAGACTGTTCTAATGCAAGACACACGGTTCCTTGTGGGAAATCGCGCACTTACCTTTCCGAACCAGTCAATTTGTTTCGTTTCTGTGCGCATTTGACTTTGGTCTGTGTGAAGTTCTGTTTTTCCATCCAAGTTACAAGATTTGGCCTGAATCAGTGGCGCCAACTCGACTTGATTTTCAGACAACGTGATTTTCCTTGGAGCAGGCCGTTCGAGACCGTACACTAGGTCTACCTGGTTGGAGACACGTGGGATTTCGTCCCGACCGACTACGTAGCTCGAAGGCGGGAAGTTGCTCCTATACGATGGACCAAACACAGCTTGATTAGTGTGTATGAGCCACAAATTAGACCAGTCCCGGAGACTGGTTAGGGCAGGCTGAATGACCTCAGCACCACCAGGAACATTTACAACATTCCATAGCTTAAGGTCATCGGCAAACAACAGGGATGTCTCCCCAATATCTCCGGGGAGGTCGTTGACTTAGATGGAGAACAGCATCGGTCCAAGGACCGAGCCCTGTGGTACACCGCTAAGCGTAGCCGGCGCTGGTCCGCCTCTACGTCACCTTTGCCGACGCTGTTTAGTCCGTTGCACGTCCGGTAAGTCTATTCGCTGTTATTAAGTGGCTTTTAGAACACCGGTCCATCTGCGCTGCATATATGGTTAATCCGCCAATAACTGGCCCGCCTCCACGTCAACTTTGCCAGTGATATTTAGACCGTTGCACCTCCGGTATATTTATCCGCTATTAAGAAGTGACTTTTAGAAAACCCGTCCGTCTGCGCTACGAATATGGTTAATCCGTCAATACCGATCAGCCTCCAAGTCACCTTTGCCGCCGCTATCAAGCACGATGCACTTCCGGTAAGTATGTCCGCTATCAATAAGTAGCTTTTAGAACTGCTTTGTAGCCATGCTGAATATATGGGTGATCTACCACTATTGGTCACCCACCCCGTTACCTATGTCGCCGCTTTCAATTCCGTTGCACTTCCGGTAAGTCTATCCGCTGTGTCCTAGTGGCTTTTAGGACAACCGTCCATCTGCCCTACCTATGTGGTTAATCCGCCAGTACTGGTCAGCCTCCATGTCACCTTTGCCGCTTCTATCAAATTCGTTGCACCTCCGGTAAGTATGTCCGCTGTTAATAAGTGGCTTTTAGGACGCCTGTATATCCATACTCTTTATATGGGTGGTGCGCCGCTAATCTTTGGCCTCCACTTATTGTTTGGGCCTCTGTACTCCGTTGCAACTACGGAAATTGCATTGCCTCTTCACTATTGGCCTTTAGGACACTTTTGTATCGGTGACAGATGCGCTATTAACGGTATTCCTCCACGAAACCTTTCCTGCTGCATAAATACACCGTTGCACCTCCGGTACGCTTATTGTCGGTTAACAATTGGTTTCTCAACTCCTGTGTGTCCGTGCTGCCTGGATGACTGATCCGCCACTACTGGTCGGCAGCTACCTCACGGTTGCCACCCTATGTACTTCCTTTCACCCACGGTATGTGTATTGTGTGTCCTAATGCGGCTTTTAGAACTCCTGTGTATCCGTGATTCCTAAATGGGTGATGCTCAACTGCTGGTCTGCCACCACCTAACCTATGCCGCCTCTATCTACTCCGTTGCATATCCCGTAAGCGTATGGGCTATTAATAGGTGACTTTTAGAACGCCTCTCTTTCCGTGTTGCTTACTTGAGGGATGCGGCACTACCAGTTCCCTGCTTGTAACGTGCTGCCGCCTATATACTCCGTTGCACCTCTGGTAAGTGCATTGCTTGTTCACTTTTCGCTTTCAGCACCACTGTCTATCCGTGGTGCTTACTTCAGTGATCAGCCACTACTGGCCCGCCTCCACTTCACATGTGCCACAGCGTAAATACTTCTTAGCACGACAGGGTGGTGTATTAATCTGTAACATGTGGCTTTTAGGACGGGCGCATATTCCCTTCGTATGCAGGACTGTTCTGACCGTCCCGTCGCTTGCGGATTAATGCAGAAATCCATACTTATGTTCATCACCGCGTATTTTACACACGGGATGTTTTCATGCAACCTTTCTTTTTAACAATATTATATATTTATACTGCCTTAAGTGTCCTTTTATCCGATGTCCGGTTTACATTGATTTCGAACTGTCACCATGGCCTCTTATGGTGCTTGCGAAACCATTTCTCAGTGTTGACCCTTAGTGGGTTCAGAGCTACACACGCACTCATTTGCCTGGTGGTGAATATTTCTGAATGGTCCAAACTTCCGCCCCGTTTATTGAATCTGCTTTCCCTATGTCCGGAACCCTTTATATCCACCGCTGCTCATCACCTAGAACGTTACCCTGTATCGTTTTTGCCTTAGCAATTAGTCTTAATACAAGACAACTACCACGTCGGGTAATACATGGTAGATGTGCAAACTAATGAACATCAATGAAGTAACCCGATATGTATATGCATTGCATCTACCACCTGTCCGCCAAGCTGTGCGCAGAGCCGTGATAAATGGATAACAGTGCATTTTTAAAAGCTCGTGCAGCACACGTGAGTTCCCGTGAGCGCATGCTCGCCGTGTGCCACCTGATGCTGTAGAACCGTGAACCCCGGCATATTCACCCCGTTGTCCAGTTTAACGGTTAACGAAACTCCCGACGATTCCATGCAGAAATAAACCGCTTATTCACATGCAAACCTCAATTCATCATTATCAGTACACACATCAGCTAGAGGTGGGAA